TATTGTAGAGATGAGGTCTCGCTGCCCAGGTGGGTCTCGAACCCGCGGGCTCAGGCAATCCACTCACCTCAGCCTCCCAAGGCGTGGGATTACAGGCTGAGCCACCGAGCCCGGCTCTTGACTGATTTTTTTAAAAATATTTGTAGAGGTGAGATCTTGCTATGTTGCCCAGGCTGGTCTCGATCTCCTGGGCTCAAGGAATCCTTTCACCTTGGCCTCACAAAGTGCTGGGATTATGGGCATGAGCCACCTCACTCAGCCTGATTATTTTAAATTCCAACTTCTAAAATATTTTAATGCTTGTAATGACATTTACTTTTTAGTGACTTTCTTTCCTTTTTACAAAAATTAGATCTTGGAGTGAAATTGGAAACACCCATCATTAGCTTATGCCTCTGCCTCATAGCAGCCTTGAATGAGAAGGAGGAAGAAACAAATACTGAAAAATAGCAGTGGTGGGCCAGGTGTGGTGGCTCATGCCTGTAATCCCAGCACTTTGGGAGGCTGAGGTGGGAGGATCGCTTGAGGCCAGGAGTTCAAGACCAGCCTGGACAACAAAGTGAGACCTTTATTTCTGCACACACACACACACACACACACACACACACACACACACACTCTAACCAAGTGTGGTGACATGCATCTATAGTCCCAGCTACTTGGGAAGCTGAGGTGGGAGGATCACTTGAGTCTAGGAGTTCGAGGCTGCAGTGACCTATGATAGCCCACTGTACTCCAGTCTGGGCAACCACAAGACACTGCCCCCCCCCCCAAAAGAAAAGCAAGAAAGAAAAGAAAAGGAAGGAAAGAAAGCAAGAAAGGAAAAGAGCAGTGGAGCTTTCCATCTGAAGTATTGCTGGCATTGTTGGTGACTGTGGAGCTGTTGTGATGTCCTTCCATCCTGAGCCATGTGTCCAGGTCAGGCTCATGCTGCGGGACCATCGTCAAGTCATTCTCGTTCATTATTATTAGAATGTGTCCTCATATAATTTTGGATTTTTTTTAAGCTTAAAATTTTAAATTAAGCAACCTTAGTGTGGATTCAGTTCTAGTTCTATTGTTTTCCAGATGGAGGCATTGAAAGAAAAAAGTTGTCACAGTGAAAAATCAGAGTAGACAAACCAGGGACTGACAGCAGTGCCTTCACCTCTGTGACGCTGTGAGCACAGCTGCGTAGCTGTCCACAGAGGTTTAGCTTTTCGTAGATTAGCATGTGTGAGTCTCACCAGTAGTCAACTGCCTTCTCACTCACACTGTTAAAACTGAAGATAAAAATTAAGTCCTTGAGCTCAGTGACATGGCTACTTCTGTACTAGGTCAGGGATGATGTGGGAATTGGAACTAGTTCTAACGTGGCTGGCACTCATGGCACAGCTGTTGTCTTTCTTCCGTTGCAGTTCATTTCATAGCAAGATGCCCATCAGCGGTATATGGCAGGTGTGACAGTACATATAGGTCATCATCTGTGCACTCCAGGCACTGCAGGGTGAGAGCTGACCTGGGGGACGGAGCCTCCTTGCGCCATGTTCCCACTCCCGCTTTCCCATGTTTAGAGGCAACAGCCTGGGCACTTGGAGGGATAGAGACTGAAGGGAGCCAGCAGGTGGTCTTTCTCTTAATGCTTTTTAAGATTGCTGCCATCTTCAATTGACATGAAACCATGTCCAGCCCGCCTCACCAGCCTGTGGTTCTTGTTGTCCTTTCTCTTTGTGGGGCTGTATTATGGGGTGAGTCTTACTCTCCCAGAGTCGCCGGATCTCATCACTGCCTATGCAAAGGTATCATGACTTGGGACTTTGGTCATCTAAGAAACAGCTCAGCCATTGGAGAAGTTTTGAAAAGATGAAGCTTGTGCCTCAGACTCCACTTTGTGGTGAACCAAAACTGGAGTTGACGACCACACTTCCCTGACAGCTCAGGCTCTTCACACCCAGAGACAGGGCCTTGATGGGCTGACAAGTACAAATGGACAGGCAATCTCAGGCATAATGAGACTACAGGATACTAAAGTCTTGCTACTTTAACATTCTTATCTTCTATGGCTGGGCTCAGTGGCTCAGTCTGTAATCCCAGCACTTTGGGAGGCCAAGGCGAGCGGATTGCCTGCACCCACGGGTTCAAGACCTGCCTGGGCAACTTGGTGAGACCTTGTCTCTACAATAAATCAGAAAATTAGCTGGGCATGGTAGTGTGCACCTGTAGTTCCGGGTACTTGGAAGGCTGAGGTGGAAGGATTGCTGGAGCCCAGCAGG